GTCCTTTTCAGGCCTGTCTCTAAAATCCCATGGGAAGTCCTGGAGCCAATTTGGGATGCACAGAACGGAAACTACATTATCGTGGTAGGACAGGGGCAGAGCTGGGGCAGAAGGAAGGTGTGTGCAGTGTTCTGGCGGTGCAGTGGAGGAGGGAGGTGAGATGGAGGAAATGTGCTGAAGCGAAATATTCTAAGTAGTGATTTTGTTTGAGGAAATGGGTTGAGATATGAGATAGAGGATAGTGTTTAGTACAGTTGAAAAAGGCTTTTAAAAACCTATAAAGAGGGAAAGTTTTCGTTTCAAATGGTCTATGTGTATTTTGAAATGTGTAACTTTACTAGGACATTTTAAGGAGAAAAATGTTATGAGTTTTTTAATTACTATTTAGCAAATATAATATATAAAATCTTACTAGTTTCTAGTGTTCCCTTTTAAAAAAAAAAACAAAAAAACAACAAACTTGCCGAGGTAGTGAGATACAGAATTCCTGTGTGTGTTTTTTGTGCTTTTTTTGTTTAACAGAATACCAGGCATTGTATGCTATGTTTTAACTGAACATAGTGTTTTAAGAACATCACAAAAGAAACAGTTCATCAACCCTTGATCCTTTCTCGGAGAGCTCGAAAGTTCACAGAAATTTCCAGTATTTTGTCATTTCATAAATGAATAATAATAATACCAGGTGCTGTTCCATACTAAGTTCAGCAAATTAATTCTGGAAATCCTAACAGCTTAAATATGCAGGGAAATGTATGTGTATGGAATGTTACCTTGAAAATATCTCAACCGTGATGAGGTCTGGAACAAACAGTATAGATGATGATGCAAATTTAGCTGTACCAGGTCATGGAGTTTTGAAATAAGGATCTTTCTCCTGTTGTTTTTAACGTAGTTGTTCTAGAACCAGCGCCTGTGGAACCAACACACCTGGCTGTCTGAAATACAGGCATGTTTGGGGCATGCCAAAGATACCTGGTGTTGAAATCAAGGTATAATATAGGTTTGGGTTCTTTTCAACTGGCCTGCCTCTGTTTTCTGTAGAGTCTGGCATAAAAAAATCAATTTAAATTTCCCAGATGTGTTGGATCCTGTTACTGTAAGGTCAGTGTCCTTGGCCTGTTCTGTGCCTCTTTCTGGTGCCTGCAAGAACCATGCTGGAAGCTGCCTTATAGCACCTTTTCTAGAAATACCTTTCCCATTGTTCCCCATGTTCTGCACCAGTGGGACTCACATGCCAAAACTGATTTTACCATGTAGTGCTTGTAGGTGTTAAGTGCTGCCCCGTGTTCCTCAAACTCTCCAGAACGCGGTGTAGTTGCCAAAATTCAAATGTTGAGCAGTGACATTACTGCTCGCCACGACTGCATTATTTTTATTTTGACAATGTAGAGATGATGGTGGAAGTGGGAAAATGATCTTTATGGAACCTGCTGCAGCCTCCAGGCTCAGCAGAACGGGTAGCAGCTGTGGTGTCACTGTTGCCTGGCTCCTGCCAGCGCTCCGTGCATCGCTCACCATCCACTTTGTGATTTGCCTGTGGTCAATGCAGGGTTAAGTAACATACTGTTATGTATTTTATAAATGTATTTTGGACATTGAGATTATGAGCTGCCTGTCCTTTTGGAGTTTGCCCCAGAATTCCTCAACTGAGATCAGCTGCTCTGCTTGGCTAAGCCTTTGGAGACTCTTGGGAGCAAGGTATCTCATGTTGTAGTTGGAATTCTTTTTTACCAACACTAAGCTGCTGCAGTGAAAACACAAATTAACTTCTAGGCTCCTTCGTAAATATGGAAAAATAGCAAGAACAATGTCTCTTGTAAAACCAGAGTAACCAAACAAACCATGGAGAGATTCTATGTTGTTCCCAATACATCTTAATCCTATTTTTGCTCGTGCTTTTTGCTGTTGGTAGAATGTCACTGATATCTTCTGCTTCCTCTTCAGGAATGAGCAGCTTAACTTTTCCTGATGTTTTTGGTGCCTGCCTGCCTTGAAAGACAGTAACATAAGCATCAGTTAAGGTTTTGATACGGTGCAGGGGTTTGAGAGGCTGCTCGTTCCCTTCCCCTCGCGCAACTGCTTTTCGGGTCTCTGGCAGACTCAGCAGCACCCACGTGTTGTGGCCTCGATTAAAACAGTGTGCAGCTGCCGTTGGCTCTCCCAGCTCACCAGTTGCCACCTTCTGTAGTGTCTCTGGCTGTTCCCTTCCTCCTCTATCAGGAGGCTCCAGTTGCAGATACCAGATGGTGTTTGGTAACTGCTGCTGACAAGGAGAGGTTGGTTGGTTTTCCGTACGGATCCAGCTTCCAAATGCTCATTCTGGCTAAACCAAGGCGTGTTGAAGGGCTGTGTTTTGCACAGACTCTGGACTTGTCTTCACGGGGCACAGATAGCACAAGTGGGGTCTGCTCAGTACTTGGGATCTCTTCTCTAACGTTTATTTGGGGGATGGATTAGTAACTTTGTTTTATTGCTTTGTTTCCGAAAGCAAAACATGAGTACAGCTTTAGGGACTGCAGTGATTGCTTCCAGGAGAGAAAGAGGCACAGCGTGCAAGAGAAATTATTTTCTGGTTTCTCTGTGACAGCCAATGCACTCGGGCTAATAGGATCTTCATCAAGCTTATACAACTGTGGTAATTAGTCCTCTTCTCTCTCAGTCCTGCTATCCTGTTAGAAGACTGTGGTCCTGTTCTCTGGGCTGCCTTCCTTGCTTGATGCTTTCGTTTTCTCAGGTGCAGTGAAAGTTTACTTCCCCAGTGATTGTTTTGCCCTGTGGTACACTGCCTGTGTTACTGTTTTCAGGTATGCCTAATTTTGGCATTTACCTGCAGTGTATAAGCAATTACTTAAGATCTGAATTCATTGCACCCATTCTGAATAGCTTTTTTCCCCTCCTTGTCCTTGGTCCTTTTTGTTACCCTGATGCCCGAATTCACTGGAGCTTGTATCTGATTCCCTTTTAATTTCCCCTCTTCCAGTATGTCACAGCCATCTCCCTTCCTACTCCGTATCCTATAGAGATACCAGTTCATCTCTCTACCTGTTCTTACCTCCTGTTAATTCTCTTTGTTTCCTTGGAGGACCCTTTTCTGTATGTCAGACAGACTGGCACCATCACCTCTCTCCCTTCCCTTGTATTCCTTCATGTTCAGCTAATCGTTTTACATCAGTGCCCGTCGTGCCTGCTCTCCACCCCTGGCATGCTGCTTCACTGATTCAGTGGTTACACGCTGCCTTTATTCCAGATGTTCGTCCAACAACCTCCTGTTGAAGAGGTCCACGATGGAAGCTCTGGATCTGTCCTCTTGAGTGCTTGCTTCAAACCCACCCTTGTACGTTGAAGTGTCTTCATGACTTTGCTTCTTTCAACTCCAGGTCTTTCTTTTCTCCTTCAGTTCCTTCATTTCTTTATCTGAACACTTGCTTTCCCATCCTAAATCCCAGTTGCATATTTGCCATTCTCAGTGCTTTCCTCTGCTAGTATCCTCATGCCTCATCTTTTTCTCTCTCTGACCTAGACATCACTCGTGTGTCTTCCGAAAACTGCCACAAGGATCATCTCTCTGGCTTGTTGCTCACTATGGCTTTACATCTCCTGACTGTCTCCACTAGTGGGTTTTTTTGCTTTGGTACCCTGTAGTATGTCCTGGGGGAGTGGGTTGGCAGTCTGCCCGCGCTGGCAGTCTGGGTCAGCTTCTCCTGCAAGCAGCTCTGTGCCATGTTAATTGTCAAACTCCTTCAAAGGCCAGTCTTAAATTCTGCTGCAGACACAATGTTTTCATGTTTGCAGTGCACATAGTACAGTGCCTTGCAGCCTGGCTAGGTAAGTGGGTTGCAAACGTGTGTATTTTCCTGTTGGAGTTCAGTTTATTTTGTTACTTCATTTTCTGGCTTTTCTGGCCCGTTTTATCTGTTTATAAAACTGGCAGCTGGATGAAGCCCTTATTTTCAACTGCTTTTGCTAACAACTCCCACAGTAGAAGAAATGATAATGATCAGGAAGTACAAATGTAATACATTAAATAATTCCAGTGCTCGCTTTCATACTTGCTTGCTTCTTTGATTTCTTTTACTGCTTTAGTATAAGCAATGGCATATGATACTTTTGTACACGTGTAGGCAGACTAATGTGCTTCTCTGCTTTCCATTCTGGTTTGAGAAGCTCAATAGATTCTTTCTGTTCCCTTGTCTGTCCTCAGTTGTTGTGTTTTCCTCTTCTGTTTCTGGTCATACACAGCACTTGCTGTATCTCTGTTGATATTAAATAGGTAATTATCATTACACTTCTGTAAGAATGTAAATGTTGTTGTTTCCGTATTCAAAGGGCAGGAAATAATGCAAAAAGGTTAAAAGATTTGACCAAAATATCAGTGTTATCTGATCTTAGAGATCTCTATTTGTTGCTAGCAAACCATACACCGTGTTGGTTTTCAAGTTAGATGGCACTGTGGGCACAAGAATGACTGCACACACAAAGGGAGATTCGGCCAGTGGTGCGGGTATCATGGATGGAAGACGGGGTCAATGCAGGATGGGTATATGTGAAACGAGCAACACTGATCTGAATTGGTTTTCTGATGAGCTGGGCTTGGATTCCATAACTCCAGATATATTTGGTAGGTGGCAGAAGGCTGGCAGGCCTGTGACTGACCGGTGGGTTTAGGGAGTGTCGCCTGAACTATTTAGACATTGGTTTCATTTGTGCTAAAAGTGCTAGCGATGCCTTCTCTCTGTAGATATTGTTTGAAGACTTTGTTTTTTAAAAGTGAGGGATGGCAGAGACCCTGTAATCGATGGAAGTCCGTGGCTAAAGCCCCAAAGGGCAGAGCTATGTACCGAGGAGCTTGAAAATAATGTGTCTCATTGAGAGCATCCTAAACTCAACCTTTTGTTTTTCCTGGTTTATTATGTACTTGCAAGAGGGGAGATGGCCCATATGTAGGTTTAATCCGTGTTACTCAGGAAATGGTGTGTAAGGAAATTTTTGGCTTCTTAAAAACCTTGCCCGTGCTTTTAGGATCTTCTGAAAGTTTATTTATTCACAGCAGCATCAAGTCTGCATGAAACACAGAAGTGAGATGGAAAAGGCACAGTATCTTACCATGCAGCTTTTTCATGGTTCACTTTCCTCCTTTGCCTTTTACTTGAGGGCAGAACTAGGGTAGAGAAATAATTTTTGTTCGCTTCTGAAAGGTTACAGTAATAAAGAAACTCTTGTTAACATCAGAGTATATGGCAGGCAGGAGTTTTCACAGTCTGGCATTGTTTATTTTACCAGCAATTTGGAACCTTCTGCACTCTTAAAATATTGGCAAGAAAATATTTAGCTGTTAACTATTCTGTGGCATGCGTGTGTTTGAAGCCCTGGGGAGGAGGAGTGCTTGGGGAAATCGGGTTTTTCTCAGCTTATGATTGAAACCAGAAGGTGCAGAATATTGGTAGAAGGTGAAAGCAATGTGACTTCAAATTAGAATTTTACCCAAATGTGGAACTGATGGGCGAATGTCAAACAGGTCACGTATGAACAGGGCTGTGCTAGGAAATAGAGGGAAGTCTGATGGAGCAAACACAAATAAGCCAGTCTGCTAGAAATGAATTGGGAAGTGAGTATTTGCATTTGTCCTGGCTTCAATCACTGGATAAAGGTTGTAGCGGTACTAGGTGTTGGCATCAAGGATTAGGCTTGTTAATTGCTTACTAATTGTATGGATTCTAGCAATTGTCACCCCATTTTGAAGTGAAATAAGCTACTTTTTAAAGGAGTTTTTTAGGAGAGGAGATGTGGCTTGCTTTCTTGGAGAGGAGATGGGTGATTTGCTGTTCCCATCCAGTAGAAACTTTTTCTGGTCCCAAATTCTTGGAGAAAGAATGTGGGGGGTTTTCTTATTTTTTTTTCCCCTAGGGGAGGATGATCTATTTGATATGAGCAGGATCATTCTTCTTATTATTTCTACATAAAATTGTAGCCTCTTCCCATGAGGCTTCTAAAAGCTATGGTAAAGGTAGCAATTTTTTTTTTAATAGCACTAGCTTATTTCAGGTGAAATTCCTATCAAGTCATCAAAGTGACCTGATGATGGTATCTGGGATGGTCGAATGAGCTGTGGTGTCTTGCTGCAAGTCAGGGCAGGAAGAGATACCCAGACAGGAGAGATACCGGTCAGTATCTGCAAAGATCAGCAAAAAATGAACAGAACTAAACATACTCAGAAGTTGTTCTTCTTCTGTCAGATGAAGATCCAGTGTACTATTTCCAGCAATGACCAGAGATACTCGAGGAAAAGTATAAGAAACAGACCTGTGTGTCAGTATTTCTTCGGTGTATTCTCGGCGTTCACTAACGAGTAGTACGAGAGTTGTACGGGGAGCATCATGTTTAGTGTCTACTGACAGAAATCCTCTATGAATGTGTCGTTTGATTTTTTTACCCCTTTTTTTTTGTATTTTTTGCTCTTTAATGTCCTGTGGCAATGGCTTCTGCCACTTTAATTGTCTGGCATGAGAAAGCACTTTTACTTTATTTTTAGTGTTATTTGGTCATTTCATCAGCTTCTTTTCTACATCTTTTTTTTATAGGAAACAGCGAACAAGTAATTCCTTGTTTACCTGCTCGATACCACTCATGATTTTACCTCTTAGTCATCTTCCCGCTCGTTTCTTCCTGAATATAACTAGTGTTTCCTCATATGTCTAATGACTGAACTCTTTTCTGTGAGTTTTCTATTTCTTTTACATCTGTTCTGAGATGAAAAGGTAATAAATATGGGCAGCGTTTTATATGTAGGCACACTATGGATTTATGGGAGAGTGGGATTCTTTTGTTCTGTATTCCTCTCATACTAATTCCTAAAATTTACTTGTCTTTCTTCACTATTGAATTGTTGAACTGAAATTTTCTGGAGGTTTCTCCACAAAATCTTTTTGAGATCCATTTCCAGAATTGTAGCTGCTAAATGTGTGCACACTGTTGGTTTTTTTAATACCTACTACTAGTACCTTTATCAGCACTGAATATTACTGGTCATAATTATCTGTGATTGTTAATTTATTATTGGCAGGGGGACTGTAACTAGATAATCTTTAAGGTCCCTTCCAGTCTAAACCATTTGATGATTGTATGGTTAATGTTACCTAACATGTTTCATTTAGTTTAATGCTTTATGATCCCAGGGATTTTCTTGCTCTTGACTTCTACGGAGTTATCTTATGTGGGCAAATCATATCACATGGAGTATGATGGACTCTCAGAAT